GTACCCCACTTACCAAGAAATTAAGGTAAGTGCACAAGAACACATGCGCCGCAGTAGGATATTTTCGAAATGATCCCAATGACATCAGATGAACCGCCTACAATCAATCACTAGTAATCGATCTAGCTGCACTAAATAACCTTCCATGCATCAAGAGACACAATAAAATGCTGCTTGTTCGTTTCTGTTTGATTCATGTAAAAACGAGTCGCTGGACAATATGGAGAATAGCGCAAGTGGTTAGAAAATTCGATTTTCGCGTAGTTACACTGGTATCAGTTACACTGGTGCCATCTAGCAGGGCACAGTTGAACCAACAAACGTCTGCAATCTTTGAGCCGATGGCACAAAAATTAATCAATGGCCATTGTTGCTGCTGTGGCTCCTGCTGCTTTGAGTCTGCTGCTACTAGCGCAGTAAAGCTGGGCAACATAGTGCATGGCAAAAGTGACGCGAGTCGGTCCCGTCGGTCCGCTTCTTGAGGAGGATAACTTCAAGTGAGCTAATCCGATGCGGACCACTAAAACGCAATTTCATTTCAAAATAGGCCCTTTCTTGGCACAAAAGTAACATTACAAGGTTTCTGGATCGCTATTTCAACAATCACCGTCGACTTAATACTTGCCTTTAGTGTCCCTTTAAAGCATTTTTTTCGACAGGTGTCACGACAAAAACGAGCCCATTGGGCGGTTTGTAGGTGCATTTGGGAGGCCACCGAACTACATTGAAAAAGGCTGGGATAGTGCAGCCATTATCGCCAAAAGCACACAGGAACTTTCAAACAGCTCCAAAAATGGACAACTATGTCCATCTAGCAGAAAACATGTCATGCCTTTCAAGAGACGTTGATCAAGCTAACAGCAAACGCTAGATCATGCGCTGCCATCTGTGAGACATTGTGAAACTCTTTATGACCTCCCAGATAGCAAGCGCACGGCATGCATCTTGGAGGACATGCAAGATTTGCTTTAGATCAAAAACCTGTATGTACTTCGCACACGCGCAGGTACAATCAAGTGTGTGTTGCGTGCGTGTGTGCGTGTGTGCGTGTGCGTGTGTGCGTGTGCGTGTGTGCGCGTGTGTGCGCGCGTGTGCGCGAGTGTGCGCGTGTGTGCGAGTGCGCGCGCGAGTGCGTGTGTGTTGATTGATTGATATGTGGGGTTTAACGTCCCAAAACCACCATATGATTATGAGAGACGCCGTAGTGGAGGGCTCCGGAAATTTCGACCACCTGGAGTTCTTTAACGTGCACCCAAATGTGTGTGCGCATGTGCACATGTGTGCGCACGCTTACGTGTGTGCGTGCGTGTGAAAAACATATTGACAAGTAAGCACTTAGCGGTTGAAGGGTGCACTAGGGGCCGGATTTTGCTGTCGCGTTCAACTTTTAAAGGCGAAGCTTAGGGTTCCCAGTGCCCTCCTAAACATGCCACTCACTCTCCCAAGTGAATGCGGGGAAGCACCATCTTGCAATGAAAATCAACTTATTCTTGGGAGTTGCTCCCAACTGCCTGAAGTTTTTTATATATATATATATATTGTTGCGTACATGCACGAAGACAAAGAAGCGTATAGGGTGAACGCACTTGTCGCCCAGAGCGAGAAAGGAAGAGGATCAGGAGGATTACGCCAATTAACGGGGTTTATTGGCGAAAGTAGTACATGCACAGCAGGTCTACTGATGCGGAAAGCGGGCGGCAGCAACTGACACAAGAAATGCAACGCTTGGGGGGCCAGCTCGCGCTCGGCTCCTCTTGCTAAAGGCGTGACCCACTGCGGCACATAATCTTCTTCCTCTCTACACTTGCAATAAAGCAAATGTGACTCCCGTGATGCTCACAATACTTTTTTTCTTCCTAGGATGTGAGAAACACAACCATTTCGGATACAAATAAAGCCAACTTGTCAATGTGCAACTATCCCGTCACAAAAATAATTGCAGCACAAACACATTCAAGCGTGAACAGCGCAACGGCAGCAAAAGAGAGAAAACAGAAAGGGAAGAATGGCTACTCAATCGAGCAACGACTTCAGACAAAACAAACACTTGCTATACTTAGGTTCAAGTCTCGCCGGCACACACAGCAGCTGCGCTGTCAAGCTGCAATCTACCGCAATAATTCCAGCCCTCTCACTTTCGGCCTGCCCGACCAGTGCCAATGCGGTGGCCACCCGGAGCGCTAGGCTCATATTGCCACATCCGCTCAACACAGCAGGCCACACTGTTTTTGTCGAGTGGCTGTGCTTGTGCACACAAACACTGACTAGTTCTCAGTAAAACTAATTGGAAGAAAGAGATAAACCTTCAGTTCTTCTAACAGAAGCACAGATGGTGACCTAAGATTCGCGTGATCAAAGAATGATTAATGAAGAAATGAGGATTGAGATGGGTAAAATCTGTTAGTGAACTGTGCAATCTTGAAACTAAATTGCCTCAATTACTGGCCAATGCCTGTAAAATACTATGAGAAGCCATTCATTACTTGTGTAAGGAACAAATGAGGCTGAGAAAGCATAATAGTATAGTAATAATATCTTACGTTCCAAAACCACAATATGATTGCAAGGCACACCATCGTGGAAGTCTCTGGAACTTCTGACCATTGGGTGTTTTTTTTTTTAAACGTTCACTGGCATCGCAGCCAGTGGTGCCAGATCTACGGATTTGTTCGTAGATCTACCGATTTTCTTAGCTACCTATGGATTCCCGGATAAAAAGAAAATTCTAAGGAAATTTATGAAATTCCTAAATTTTTTTATTTTTTTTTCAGTTGCGATATCTGTATTCACTACCAACCCCATCTCAAGGACAGTCGGCGTCTGCCGAAATGTGCTTCGTACCTAGAAAATTGATTAGCCACGCACTTGAGTGCACAAGATGCAAACGCACCCACTCAAACGAGCCTCCAATGAGGGCTGCAGAAACAGAGTCTTTTCATCTCTTTCAGCCTCAACCCACCTCCCCCTATTAGCGACGTGTTTCCCAATGTTTCACCAAAATCACAGTGTCTGCAAGTCTGAGGTGCGACCAGCTGCACCTCTATCATGGTGGTCTCTAGAAGTAGAGCTGGAAAAATGTCAAGAAGCTTGCATGGCTACCTTGAACATATAATTGTCATTTTCGAGTGCTCGGAAGGCTCTGCAAAAAAATCATGTAAAAGAGCAACCGAACATTATTACTAAAATCATCAGGCCATTGCATGATAAGGAAGGAGGGACATAACGTGCATATCTGTTTGTTCTTGTTGTTGAATTCACCCTTTCCAACGAGTGCTCACAAACGACCACTAGAATGTGCATTAGCAAATCTCCGAGGCGAACATTCCACCCCCATGCTCTCTGCCTAGAGATTTGCAGCCACATGCACTGAAAATACTTCAACTGCGCCACAAGCGCCGAGCACCCGTAACATATTTGGTTGCGCATGGCCTCAAAACATTCCGGTGCACAATTTGATTGATATATGTGGTTTAACATGCCAAAACCACCATATGATTATGAGAGACGCCGTAGAGAAGGGCTCCGGAAATTTCGACCACCCGGGGTTCTTTAAATGCGCCCAAATCCAAGTGCACATTTTCAGAAGCCACAGGTGCGAGAAAACCAGAAAAAAACCACGGAAGAACCAAGACACCGCACGTCGCATCAAACATAAATGGCTCTTGCCGCTATGGGTGGTCTGACGATTGTGAAAAAGGTCCATTATATTTCTTTTATGCAACATTTTTGTGGGTGCTTCATAATTAACAATAAATAAAATAATTACCGATGGAAGTAATAAATTTATTTTTGTCATAAAATTGATATTTAATGAAGCTATGAAATTTTCACATTATCTCCTGATTTTTTCGCAGGTCCGGCTACGGATTTTGTATTTGGGCCATCTGGCAGCACTGATCAAACTGTACATGGGCCTCTAGCATGTCGCCTCCATCGAATGCAACAGCTGTGGCCAGAATCAAACCTGTGACTATCGGGTCAGTAGCCAAGCACCATAGCTGCTAGACTATAGCGGCGGACAGGCTGAGCAAGCAATAGTTCTTGAAATTGAACATTTCACCTGTACTTTACTGACATTTGTCCAATTATTATCTTTCAGGTGCTCTTTAGGTACCTTTTACTGTGGAGTGTCGAGAATTTTTGGCATACCAAAAAACTTCGAGCAAGCAAGTAAAAAAACCCATGCCATTTTTAATGCCCGGTGTCAACTACCCACGAAGAACGTAGCTTTCAGCATGAAAAATCTGGCGCTATTTCATCTAAGGTATATTGTGCTAGATCGAATTGTATTGTAGCTGATCGCAGACAGAGCGACGCGTCTGCAATAGCTCTCACTTCTTTGTTCTTTCTCACCTGGGTGATGTAAGTTGTACCTTCAATAATATTCTTTATTGGTGTGTACACACCGAAGAGGTGGCACACGACATGTTGCGTAGTTCTCAAGTACGTTTTTTGTTGCAAGGTCCTCGCATCTGCGACATATGGAGAATTCGAGACATACATAAAGTATGCATTCAAGTTGAATTTTAGATAATTTAACTACAGAATTATTCAATGCTTGCTGCTTAAAGCTGGAAAATGAAAACCAGTCTTATTTTGTTCGGCAGTTTCATATTTTAGGCATTGAAGGGTTAAAGGCTATCTGCCCTTAGATGAAAACTTAGCGTATCATCTAATTTTTCTTGTACTCTACAAGACAAGATAATTAAAGTTTCGTGCCTTATTTATTTTTTAATTCACATATCACCATCAAATCTCCCTGCCTCTCTTGCAATTTTTCTCTCTTGCTTTACTTTCTCTAAATATCTTGAAAAACCTCCAATAAAAAATTTGTCCATGACAATTCTTATGGTTGATTTTCTTGTTTCAAATCGAGTGACCAAAACAAAGAATCAAAGTTGGCTCTATACTCGTGCTTCTTCTGAAGTCAAATATTCTGCCTTCAAAAGGGAGAACTGCAAAATTAAACAAGGAACACCGAGACAGGAGCTAAGACTCACGGTTGTATATGTTGACGGGTTCCTTGATCACTTGCCAGTCACAGTGGCCCTCATACGAGACACGCAGGAGATATGAGCCATGCTCTCCAAGGTGCTCGCGGAAACTGCAGTGACAAAGTTACACACATGCTCTCACAAGGAAAGACAAAAAATCAACTTATCGACACAACAGAAGCTTGCAGACAATTCTGTGACAGCCTAATGCGTGCCCCGAAATCAGACAGAGGAAAGTGTGGAAGAAAGATACATAGATGCAGTAGGAGTCATTGTTTCCTGGTGCCAGATGCACTACCGATTGCTGCCTTGAGCTTAATCCAAATGACTCTCCAGAATGTGCCACAATTTCCAGGGCATTAAATTCAAGGCGCCCTTTTTTGCAAGTAGTCATAGAATAGATTCACTAAGAAAGCTTACTACCTCACGATTTCATCTCTGCAAAAATTTTCAGAATTCGTCCAGTACGAGCGGAGTTGCAAAAATTTGCTGCACGCTGCAAAAGCATTCTCTTTTTTCTCGTCCTGACGAAAGCGCTGAAAGGTAAGCATAGAAGGATGCCACAGGTAAAGAAAATATGTCACGTGTGCCTCATGACATTCAGCATTTTCTCTCCATCTCTTTATTTTTTCTTTGGATACACGGCTTTTCAGTGCGATCACACGCCCGCATGTAGACAAGTCCCAACCTCTCGCCGCGGGCCGAGTAACGACTAAGCGCTCCATGCTCAAATAAACCAATGACTGATACAATGGCTGTTACGAGTGATTTTTTTAGCTTGTATAGTCCTTTGTCGTGAGAAGAGAAAGTAACTTTTAGCTGACTTTGGTAATTTATTGTGAATTCCATGCTGCATGCTGCGCTATATTTGGCCTGACTACGGATCCGAAGCGTTTTCTTACCATGCTCAAAAAGTGTTGCAGGGCCTTTTAAACCCCATTTCAGGGCACTTGTAACACAAGCCGGGCAAGTTTTTCCCTGCATTGCTAAAATATTGCAACCTTAACCCCATAAGAGCTTTATAAGAGCACAGCTCATTCTGCCTAAAGTGTACTTGCTCGTCCTGCTTAAGACGAGCAGGGACAGTTTGTGCCTAGGTGCAAGCGAGCAGAGATCGGATGAGCAGGTACAGTTAATACCTAGGTACTCCCCTAGTAAGCAGAGATCGTCCTGCTTAGGACGAGCTCTGCTCACTAGTGGAGTACATACTTTGGACGAGCTCTGCTCACTAGGGGAGTACATACTTTGCTAGCACGAGTCCTACCGAAATATGTACTCCCCTGTAGTGTTCAAGACGAGAATTGCTCGTCTACGGCTTATATCGCATGTCATACACTAGATTGCAGCCTTTTCTCAACAATTTGATTTCCCCTGCGTCAGGAACGTGGTTTTCATATGAAAAAGATGGTGTGGGGTGGCGGTGAGCCATGCATAGCTGTCCGTCAACACGAAAAACAAACTTGCCATTTTTGTCAACTTTTTTGAGAGATGATAATTTGGATACAGTTTATCAAGCGTCTGGAAGTGAAGACAGTGATGGAAGTGAAGACAGTGATGACAGTGAATTGAACAGCTCCTCCAGTAATGATAACCACAGCTCAAAAGCAAAAATCATGAGTGCTCGCCAGTGAAGCCGCTTTGCGTAATTCCATGCTTCCAAATTTTCCCCACAACCCTGAATCTTCCCAAGTGAAACAGGTGAAACAGCCCAAGGAGGCTCACCACCGTATTTTAGAACGTTCCTTCACTCAATGCTTCACCTTGACTTGAAAAAGGCGATAGGAGTGCCGTCTTTTGGCATACGAAGTCACTGCATATCGGCAATATTCTGCAGCGATTCTTGAGAAGTGCAGTGTCCATTTCAGTTGATCAGCGGCGTAGTGCTATACTCAGTCAAGTGAAAGGCAGAATTCAAGCCGAGGAGCGTTTCTGAATATGGGGGTTAGCCTACAAAAGTGAAGAAAGATGTGGCGTATGGAACAGTTTTATTTCATCATCATCATCATCATCATCATCATCATCAGCCTGACTACGTCCACTGCAGGACAAAGGCCTCTCCCATGTTCCGCCAGTTAACCCGGTCCTGTGCTTGCTGCTGCCAATTTATACCCACAAACTTCTTAATCTCATCTGCCCACCTAACCTTCTGTCTCCCCCTAACCCGCTTCCCTTCTCTTGGAATCCAGTTAGTTACCCTTAATGACCAGCGGTTATCCTGTCTACGCGCTACATGCCCGGCCCATGTCCATTTCCTCTTCTTTATAACTATGATATCCTTAACCCCCGTTTGTCCCCTAATCCACTCTGCTCTCTTCTTGTCTCTTAAGGTTACACCTACCATTTTTCTTTCCATTGCTCGTTGCGTCGTCCTCATTTAAGCTGAACCCTCTTTGGAAGTCTCTAGGTTTCTGCTCCGTAGCTAAGTACCGGCAAGATACAGCTGTTATATACCTTCGTCTTGAGGATAGTGGCAATCTACCTGTCATAATTTGAGAGTGCTTGCCGAATGTGCTCCACCCCATTCTTATTCTTCTAGTTACTTCAATCTCGTGGTTAGGCTCTGCGGTTATTACCTGCCCTAAGTAGACATAGTCTTTTACAACTTCAAGTGCACTATTACCTATCTCGAAGCGCTGCTTCTTTCCGAGGTTGTTGTACATTACTTTCGTTTTCTGTAGATTAATTTTAAGACCCACCTTTCTGCTCCCCTTGTCTAACTCCGTAATCATGAGTTGCAATTCGTCTCCCGAGTTACTCAGCAATGCAATGTCATCGGCGAAGCGCAGGTTACTAAGGTATTCTCCATTGACTCTTATCCCTAACTGTTCCCACTCTAGGCTCCTGAAAACCTCCTGTAAGCACGCGGTAAGTAGCATTGGGGAAATTGTGTCTCCCTGCCTTACACCCTTCTTGATTGGTATTCTGTTGCTTTCTTTATGAAGCACTATGGTAGCAGTTGATCCCCTGTAGATTTCTTCCAGAATGTTTATATATACTTCATCTACCCCCTGATTCTGCAGTGTCTGCATGACGGCTGATATTTCTACTGAATCATTTCTCGTAATCTATGAAGGCTATGTATAGTGGTTGGTTATACTCTGAGCATTTCTCTATTATCCGATTGACAGTATGAGGATAGTATGAGGATGGAACCGTTTTATTTATAGTGTTTTATTTTGATTAGAAGGAGGTAGCTGGTTTTCCATGAATTGTTTAGAAGGAAACTTCATTGTGTTGATCTGACAAAGTATGCGATACAAATAATTCTTCATCATCAATGTTGCTCCTTTTTAGTACAATAAAATTCAAAATCAGCAATAAAAAAATAGGCACTTTTCGTCTAGAAATTGTAAAACGAAATGGAGCACTTAAGAGGTTAATATAAAACTTTTTGACCATATGATTTATGAAGCGGCTCTTTGAAATCATTTTCAACCATTATTTTTGAAGCATGTTCCTCATAAAAGGCCCCAGAACAAAACTGAAAGCCAGAAAAATTATGCAAGGTTGTGAAACACAAGAACGTCGAAGCATTAAAAGACACATACGTGCAGTTAGGCAATGGTTCACGATGCCTCCGCAGCTGCAACTCTGTCTCGTAGATGCTCCCCAGGACGACACTGTAATTGCGACTATGGCGACGCGCATGATGGACTAGTTGAAGAGTACACTGCACAAGGAAGTTTAGAGTACATTAAATATTGTCAAATGCTTTCAAGGCACCCATTTGCATTCATGAAACAGTCATCTTCACAAGTGCATTTTTTGTAATCAGTAATACATCATCCATTGCCAAACCACACTGGTTTGCTACTTGCAATATTATTTTCGGTAATACAAGAAGTTCTCTTTTACAGTCTCTCTGTTTAACCCTCTCAGACGTCACCAATGAAGAACTGTCCGTAAGTGCGTCAAATCACTACAACGTTATTTCAAGGCACTTAATATTCTATTGCAATGAGATCATTGCTGAATTTATGTGTGTTCTAATTAGGCAGCAATTAAAGATCTATTTATCTTGAAGTCACTGATGCTTACTTTTTGTATAAACAGAATTAAATCTCGGGTCTAGGGATATAGGGCATGCAAATTCATTTTTGGTTACGTACATTTTGAGCAAAGAAAAATTTTGCTTTTCATACTGCTTGCAGGAAGCGGCATGCCACACCGCTCGACGAACGTGGTAGTGCCTTTAGAAATGTGATAATGTGTATCAGTACACTGAAAAATGAAGTTAAATGAAGAGAAATTTATCATGCAGGTGGTTCAATTCATCCAAAGTACGATACATCTTGCTCTCTCTTAGCTTGTACTTGGTGCAAATAGCAAAAATTAGTGGTGTACACAATTGTGTACATACCGTCTCAAAGGGATAAGAAAGTATCAGAATTTTGAACTCAGCATCATGTTCACAAAGCTCAGACTCTGTTATGCATTCACATTTCAGTGCTGACTGGCTACTAAAGATGTTTCACTGGTCACCAAGTCGCGAACATGAAAAAAAAAAAGAAAACTAGAATGTCATAAGGCATTATGCATGATGCATAGTAAGTATATCTGTAATGATAATGTTACAGACCATAAAAGAACACTAAAGCAAGCAACACACTTCAGCAGCATTTGGTTTCCTTAGTAAGCTAGAGAAAAAAAGGTATGTAGAAACCACTTATTACCAATATAATTGGATATAAGCAACATGACAGTCATCCTTGGACCGCAGGATTTCCCTGAAGTTCATTTCGGGGCTCCAGCAATAGCCCACGTTCAAAGGATTTTTCATTGCTGCAAGACTATCTTGCCCTGAACCTTACCTGAACGTGATACACAAGAACACTACACCTTTAACTGCAAGCTAACAATGCTTTAAAAATGAAACCATGCTGCTCAGGGATGTCTCCAGTAGTTTCATTTTATCACAGCAGTACTTTTCCTGTCCCAGTTTGCAGATTCGCAGGATGCAGATGTAGTACAAGTAAACAAGCAAATATAGAACACAGCATACCACCTATCTCAGAGCATAGGCTGCTGCTCTAATTCACACAATCTATTATCATATTCAGTCGCGGATAACCAGTGGCCTTCATGCAATGAAAGAATCACCCATACCAATAGAAGCAAGAATTCAGGTCAGACATGCATTACAATACCATGTGCCCTCGTTTCGCTCAGGAAAGTTGCCTAGATATCGAACCTGGCAGAAAAGCTGGAGCAACTGGAATCCATTTAAACCAGCTGATGGGCATTGTTCATACAAGTGACGAGAGACTTTTTTCAGCCTCACTTTGCTAAGAAAATCTAACCAAAAAAAGGTGTCAAAGCGAAAGTGGAAAATGTCAAGAAACAACCAGCAACACTGTTTCACCTAGCTTGTTCGATCTATTCTTCAAAAAAAAAAAAAAAAAACTGAATGTGATAAAAATCTCAACATGCCACGTAACTACACTGAAATGTAACCCTTTGTTTCTGGTGATCCAGTGATAAAGCTACACATACTCAGCAACATTTACCGAGATTCACTACAAGTTGTTCTAATGTCTGGCCGGCAGTAGCTTAATCTTATGCCATACTAAAACATAGATGTGCACACAAGGTGTGGGTACAAGAGAGAGACTTCTCCCTATCACAAGAAAACTTTGGAAAAGAGCTCGAAATTTGGGACTTCCCTGTGCCTGTTTTACATAGCCTGCCGACAGATCATGGTGGTGTGTCCTTTAAGTCATTGTTGTACATGAATGTGCTAAGTCTGAATATAAATTTATGAACAAGTCTTAATATTAATGAGAATAGACAGTGATGCCAAGGAAATTGTAGGGAATGTCATTAGTAGTAAGTGTAATGTAAATGTGAAATATATAGCTTGCCAATGGCAGCGACCAAACCTGCAACTTTCGAATAACGCATAAGATGCTCTACAAACTGAGCTACAGCGGCGGTCATCTCCCCGTGCACTTCATGGGGTATACAGGATGTCCCAAATAACGCAAAAAAGAGAAACGACACTACGCGAAGCAAACGTAGTGAATATTGTTTCAAGTATACTGTATCTACTATTTTTTGTCAATGACAACATTAATTATTCATATTTATATTTGTAACTCAAAAAGCACTTGCCTAATTATCAAATTGTAAATAAGGCAGGTATTTATTTATTCACCCTCAGGGTCAATAGACCTTACAGAGGGGAGTTGTTCTGTTTAGAAAAGAAGTGTTCCAGTTATACAATGGAATAAAATAACACAATATGTAAAGATTATAAATATAATTAACACAAGTAACCCAACAATATTACACATGCACATGTTGAAATGACATCTGTCTGTGCTACTTCCAACAACATATTAATTGCATGCTCATTTTTTTCAGTTACTAAAGAAAGTCTACAAAATGTGAAAAATAAACTGTGAATGCACTCCCAGCAGCAAAAGAAAGCAGCACCCTCAAATAAGCTTACTGAAAGCAACAGGTTTGCATCTTTTCCATTGCCAGTGAAAGCGTTCCCCACATTGGCAGAGGTACAGGTCAAGTGCGAACATGTGTCGCAATTTTGCAGGAATTTCTTCCACAGGATTGTACGTCACTATCATTATCCATATCTTACGGTCGGTCAACTGTTCTCATTGATAATGCAGTAGGAGCACTGTTCTGATTACAGCCCGACTGTGTAAAGTGGTGGGTTTCTTCAGACACGAAGTGGCAGATAGCGCGATCCATATTTTTTTTTAATTGCAAAGCATTTCTTTGCATACTGTAGCCACTTTGAACATCTCTCTGTCTGTCTGTCTATCTATCTATCTATCTGTCACACATATCAATGGCATAGCCTATGCATGCTGGCGTGCCCATCAGCTATGCCATTGCTCCAGAGCGCAAAACTTCATTTAATTGATTTTTGAAATAACCATTGAATATTTCTAAAATAAGCACGGATCTGCACATGACATTTGTTCAACTGAAATATTCACTTTTCTGAATTTTCTTAAAACTGAATCAATCTTCAAAAAAGAAGATCCATCAGTCCGTCTGTCTATTCGTCCATCCCTCTGTGTCTGTGTGTGTGTGTAGCCGATTATGTCTGGGCGCTCTTATAATCACCCCCTTAGTTTGGGGGTAAACCAAAATTAGTATGGGAGGGCGATGTTTTGACGAATATGAATTGCTGGACATGACGCCTACATCGTCAAACCCTTTCCGCCAGACAGTAGCACATACCCGTGGGCACCTATGAATCACAGGTGATTGACAGTTTACATCTACCCACGAACGGCGAGAACCGACATGGATAATTTTAACATGCAAGTGTTAAGAAAAAGCCAACATCAACAGTGTTGACCCGACAAATGCAAAGAATAAACGTCAAGATCCCAGCAGGAAATAAATTCTGGCATTCTGCAAGTCGATCAAATATTCTACCACAGAGCCACACCAGGTCTCGGAAATACTTTTCACACAGGCCCTAATGTTCGTGAGACATCAATTGTGGTTACAGTGCTGACTATCCAATTTTATAAACATTACACATGTACTACATGATACAGCCGTCAGGTAAGTTAACGTCAATTGTAGTGAGGCGCCATCCCCTAAAGTTCATTTATGTAGCAGTGTCCAAGGCTACCATACTCGCGAGCACCAGTGCTTCATATCAGCTTACCGCTTTTAGTGTTGCTAATACCCATACTGCTATTGGCCTCGTTACGCAGTTGTAAACAACTGCTTGTGTAAAACATATGTGGCTGTTTAACGTATGTCTGAACGTAAATTTATACATACCTTTAGTGCCACTTGGTAACATTTTGCTCAATAAAAAGAAATTACAACACAGTCACCTTTCATCTGCATAACATTGATTCCAAAGCTACGTGGAACCTGCCCTATATTTCTTTCATTGATACTGGCTACTTCAATATGACCTTGTTTGAGGGTGCTACTTCCTGATGCACGCAGCGCTCTAATCACGTGCTATTTTTCGTATTTCATAGGCTTTCTTAATTAATGGTAAAAAATGAGCATGCAATTAGTATGTGGTTGAAAGTAGCACAGACAGGTGTTCAACATTTGTACATATGCCCCATTAGCATTTTGATTATTAGGCAAATACTTTAAAATTTATGAATACAATTATGACTTATTATCATAGGCAAAAAAATGAGTAACAGCTACTACAGTATACTGGAAACAATATGCACTCGGTTCACTTCACGTATTACCGCTCCTTTTTTTTTTTTTTTTTTTTTGCGGACACCTTGTATATGTGAATTTAAGGGGGCAGACTGCTCTTAGACATCTTTTGTTTATTTCTTCAGTGATCTTGATGAAACTGTGCAGAATTATGCTGTTTTTTCTGCTGATTTCAAATGTTTAATTAGTTTTCCTGTAACTCATTTTATTCCTGAGATAATTTAAGTTCATCCCCTATTGTTTAAGGCTGTCATACAAAAAAGTGCTTAATTAAAAGTGACATTTAAAATATCCCAACATAGACTAATGACTATTGATTGAATTAATGCAAGAGTTTTTTTGTTTTTAAGCCTTTCTTAATTATTTTACAGCAAAATGAACTATCCATCTTCAAAAGCAGTTGAAATCATGTTAAAATCTTTACGAGTGATTAATTAAAAAGGCTTGTTCTCTAAATTCTGCTCCCATACTTGCACCCTACACACATACAGGTTT